CTCTGCCCTCATCTCCCTCCCCTCTGCCCTCATCTCCCTCCCCTCTGCCCTCATCTCCCTCCCCTCTGCCCTCATCTCCCTCCCCTCTGCCCTCAGAGTGCCGGCCAGTTCTGTTGTCTCCCCAACTAGCAGGTGTTGGTTGGAGCTGAGTTAACAGTACTCACACCTGTATGCAAATGGTCTAATGAAATCCTTTGATTGCTCTGATACCTTACCACCCATTGCTGTGTTTTCCAGGAGAAACTGAACAAAATCATTCTCTCTTTGGATTCTGCTCAAAAATTCATCAGTAATAATGCTTCTTCTCTAATTGTGGAAGTAAGTTTTCTTTCTTTTTTTTTTTTTAAATAAATGTGTTAGGAAACAGATGTGTGAACCTAATGGCATGATTAAATCAGGGTTGCTGTTGTCGTTTTAATGGTTTACTAATGTTTGATTTCCTTCCAGGAAAGTAAGACATATGTGAATACCATAATAGGATACTTGGAACATTACATACAGTGGGTCAAAGACTCTGTAAGTAGTTTCTGTTTTATGAAGAGAAGGGAGGATATGGCTTAGCGTAGTCAACTTCAAGGATAAAATCAGGAAGAAATACAAATGAAATTCACCCTAATTTGGTAGGAGGCAAGTGAAAGGAACCCGGAGGGTGAAGGCCAAGATGGGAGATGCCATGAAACTTGGCACGGCTGTTGTCCTCCCAGGATGGCTTCGGACTACAGGCCCCCTCTCTTTGCTCCCTTTTCTCATATGGATTCTTGCCACACTTGAATGTCATCGTCTCCCCCAGTGAACCACAAGCTCCTGGGTACAGGGTCATTTGCGAGTGTAGTTTGTACACTCCTTGAGCTTCATGGAACCTGCTGCATTGTTGTGTCTCCTCAAATGTGTTGGAAGAGAAAGATGGGGGAACAGAGTGAAGTTTCCAATGATTTTATGGCAGCAAGTTAGTAGGGAGAGTTGTTGTTGTTGTGTGCTGTCAAGTAAATTCTGACTCATAGTGACCCTAGAGGACAGAGTAGAACTGCCCCATAGGGTTTCCACCTCATTAAAGGGCACACTGTCTTCTGTGTTTTAAAACAGGGCCAGCAGGAGTGACTGTTCTGTTATTGGAACAGAGCCATACCAACTTGTTTATATATTGTCTATGATTTCCTTTAAGGAGCTCTTGTGGGGCAGTGGTTAAAGCACTCGGCTGCTAATCTGGCGATTTGAACCCACCAGCCATTCCGAGGAAGAAAGCTGTGGCAGTCTGCTTCATAAGGATTATAGCCTTGGAAATCCTATGGAGCAGTTCTACTCTGTCCTATAGGGTCGTTATGAGTCAGAATCAACTCGATGGCAGTGGATGTTTTTTATGATTGCCTTTGCACTACAATGGCAGAATTGAGTCATTTTGGTAGATGGGTCTCAGTCTGCAAATCCTAAAATGGTTACTCTCTGGACCTTTACGAAAAGGGTCTGCCAATCCCTGTTCCAAAATGTACAATTATTGAGCAATTAACTCTCCCTTTTCTTCCCACCTCCTTGGTCAGATAATGAAGGAGTAAGACATTCAGACTGAGGCACAGTGCTGGACACATGCCCTTTTAATTCTCTCACAAATCCTTCAGGATGAGACTGACTGTTACAAGTAGCCAATGAGGAAACAGGCTGAGAGAATAAGGGCCTTGCTTGAAAGTACACAGCTTTGTACGTTGTAGAGCTCGTCCATAGAAATAAACCATGTGTGCCTCATGGTCTAGAAGACATAGAAATTCCTTTGGGGAAACAGGCCAGAGGTAAACGGCATGTGTAACTCTTGTGGGTTTTTGTGGCTGTGTCTCAGTTAAAGTGTGCTTGTGTTTCTTACTCCCATAGATCACTCACAAAATTGCAGCCTGCAAACCCGTGGCCACCGCTTTAGATTCTGCTGTTGACGTCTTTCTGTGTAGCTACATTGTGGACCCTTTGGTAAGAGTTTTATCTTTCAAAATAAGGAAGCACAGTCAATCCATCATCTTTGATTATATTTCTCCAGATTTCAGTACACACTATTAGTTTTCTGCATGGGTCTATCATGGTTTTAGATGAATGAGTTATGATACCTGTTGTTGCTGCTGTGTGCCATTGAGTCAATCTGACTCATAGTTCTCAGAGTAGGAAGACCCCCTAGGGTTTTCTAGCTGTAATCTTTACAGAAGCAGATCGTCAGGTCTTTTCTCCCACAGAGTCACTGGAGGGGGGTGGGGGGTTTGAACCACCAACCTTTCAGTTGGCTGCTGAGCACTTAACCATTGTGCCATCAGGGCTCTTGTTACTGATACCTAATAGACTAGAAAAGTCGAAGTCCTATTCGCATATCTTTGTTCTTTACTAGAATTATATTTACAGAAATCAGGAAACCTTCATGAAGAAAACTCCTATTTGTCCAGAATAATTAGAAAGGAGCAATCATTGGTGTACAGATTGTCAATATGCAAAAGGATTTTTAGTCCAGTTATATATACAACACCAAAGCTACACCAAACTTAATTTTTGATTTAAAAGCCTTTTGAGATGTAACACTTAGGATAAAACCATTGCCATCAAGTCAATTCTGACTCATGGAAACTCCGTGTTACAGAGTAGAACCGTGCTCCATAGGGTTTTCTTGGCTGTAATCTTATAGAAGCTGACCACTAGGCCTTTCTTCTGTGGTGCCACTAGGTGGGTTCGAACCATCACCCTTTAGGTTAGCAGCTGATTGCAAACTGCTTGTGCCACCAAGGGCCCTTGACAGCTGGGATGATAAGTTACAATTAATCACGTTTATTCCTCAGCCTCATTCATTCCTTGATAGACACTTACTTGCTCCGTGAGCCAATCCTCTCACTTCCCCTGCATAAAGTGCCTCCCTCAGTGGTTTCCAGTGGCTGTCATGATAAGGATCAGGATCCTTCTTAATAGAATATACTGGACACCATGGGATCAGGACCTGGCCCAGCCAGGCCTCATTTTATGCTATCTGCCCCCTTTTCTCCTGTACTCTCACCACACTTGTTTTCTCTCATTTCTTCAAATGCATCTCAATTCTCCTGCCTCAGGGCCTTTGCATATGCCATTTCCATTGCCTGGGCTGGTAACTGACACACTTTCTTTGTCTTTCTCTCTCATTCTTCTCCTCCCACCTGCACCCCACCTGGTTAACTTCACTAAGTCGTATAACAATGCTTGAGAACATAGATTCTGAATTCAAATTCCGCTTCTACCATCTTCTGAACTCTTTGACTTTGGACAAATTACTGAACTTTTCTGAGCGTCATCAGCCTAATGGGGTTGTTTTGACAGTTCAGTGAGAGATTGCGTGCAAAGCTCTTAATGATATTCACTGTTATAGTTAGCCATTGTTCAGTTTTCAGATCTTAGCTCAAACATATTATTTTTCCAGGAAACCTCTTCTGATTCTCCAGACTAGAATGGCTCCCTGTTCCACATTCCCATAGAACCCTACGCTTTTCCTTTAGAGAGGTTCCTGTAGTTTGAATTATGTATTTGTGTGGTACTGTGATTAAGATGAGTCTCTTCCCACTGGACTCTAAACATCACAAGCAAGGCCTGTCTCTTCACTGCTGTGTCCTTGTGGTCTGGTGTATTGCCTGGCACAGAGTATTGCTATTGAATGAATGAATGAAGGATCAGAGAGCTGTCTGTCTCAAGGTCTGTCTGTATCACTGTATCCATCCATCTCACTGCTCCATGTCCATATGTCCATCTGTCTGCTGGGTGGACTTGCACGCCCAACTGGGAGTGATCCCACCACTATCCCAGTCACCCAGAGTGCACTTGATTCCTGGCTGCTTCCCTTCTCTTCTAAATCCCTACCCTTTCATCCTGCTGCGTGTGGCCCCTGCTGCTGGCTTTAGTTGAGGCCTTCAAAATGGTAATTAGCCTCCTTGTGTCCAGGCTACACCACCCACCCCTATCCAGTCACATACCGAGCTACCAGATGCTGCTCCGCAAATAATCAGGCACCCAAGGCTGCTCAGGAAGGTGAATAGTCTGGAGCTTTATCAGTAGGTAGTTTAATATCGTAAAGGAAGAGTTCTGGGTGTTTACTTCACTTTTCTTTTGAGGCACCTTTGGGCAGACCTACTATTATGTTGCCCTTTTGGTTTTCTAACTCCAAGTCTTTGGACATTTCCTTATAATATTTTACTTTGTTTTCTCAAACTGGCCTTTGAAATCTTCTGTTCAGCTCTTTACTTCTTCATTTCTTCCATTCACTTTAGCTACTCCACATTCAAGAGCAAGTTTCAGAGTCTCTTCTGACATCCATTTTGTTTGCTTTCTTTCCTTCCTTTTTAATGACCTTTCGCTTTCTTTATGTATGATGTCCTTGATGTCATCCCACAACTCATCTGGTCTTTGGTCATTAGTGTTCAATGCGTCAAATCTGTTCTTGAGATGGTCTCCGTATTCAGGTGGGATATACTCAAGGTCACACGTTGTCACTCGTGGACTTATTTTAATTTTCTTCAGCTTCAACTTGAACTTGCACGTGAGCAATTGATAGTCTGTTCCACAGTCGGCCCCTGGCCTTGCTCTGACTGACGAGATTGAGCTTCTCCAGTGTCTCTTTCCACAGATGTAGCCGATTCAATTCCTGTGTGTGTTTCATCTGGCAAGGTCCACATGTATAGTCACTGTTACTGTTGTTGAAAAAAGGTATTTCCAATGAATAAGTTGTTGGTCTTGCAAAATTCTGTCATGCTGTAGATTTCATTTTACTTAGATCCACAATCAACTCCCATGGGAGCAATAGTCAAGAAATCAAATGACGTATTGCATTGGGCAAATCTGCTACAAAAGACCTCTTTCAAGTGTTAAAAAGCAAAGATGTCACTCTGAGGACTTAGGTGAACCTGGCCCAAGCCTTGGTGTCTTCAGTCACCTCATATGCATGTGAAAGCTGGACAATGAATAAGGAAGACCAAAGAAGAATTGATGCCTTTGAATTGTGGTATTGGTGAAGAATACTGAATATACCACGAACTGCCAGAAGAACGAACAAATCTGTCTTAGAAGTACAGCCAGAATGCTCATTAGAAGCAAGGATGGTGAGACTTTGCCTTATGTACTTTGAACATGATATCAGGAGGGACCAGTCCCTGGAGAAATTCATCATGCTTGATAAGGTAGAAGGTCAGCGAAAAAGAAGACCCTCCGTGAGATGGATTGACACAGTAGTTGCAACCATGGGCTCAAACATAGCAATGATTGTGAGGATGGCTCAGGACCAGGCAGTGTTTCATTCTGTTATTCATAGGGTCACTATGAGTTGGAAGTAACTCAATGGCACCTAACAACAACCACATTGTAATGTTTATTTTTATGTTTATGTTTCAGGTTGTCTAACGTGTTTCTTTATATCTTGCTTGTTCCTTAAAGGATTGATGCAGGTTCCATTAAAAGGGCACAGTTTTCCTAAGCTATAAAGCCTCCCAAAACAAGGTCAAAACCACTCAGATCTACTAATAAAAGAGTAGGGGTGGAAAGGAGAGCAGTTTTACTGGACATTCTGGGTTGAGAGGTGCCCCAGCCATTCAGCACTAAGCTTAGCCAGGAGCGAAGCAGAAAGGCAGTGGCAGAGCTATAAGGGCCTGGAAGGGGTCCTTACATCCAAGCTGCTTTTGCCTCGTAGTGGACTGGGGAGAGCCACTCTGGTGCTACTTACAGCATTATCCCAAGGCAGGGGCCACGCATAGAAACTCTGCAGGGGCCTGACAGGGTGTCGATTTACAAGGCCGGCCAAGGGTAGGACGCTGGGCAAAATGGATATTCGGACAGTGTGTGGTACCCACGAGGTCATACCGGTTGTAGGTTCTGATTGTTTTGCATCAGCGTCTGTTCTGATTGGCTGATAAGGTTAAATCATTTTGAATATCACGCCTGCAAAAATTAGTGGTGCAACCTGTGGCAAACTGAGGAGGAACACCTCTGTGAAAGAAGGAGCCACTACCCAGCTGCAGCTGACGGGTGCCTTGTGGGTACGAGGGCTCAGTGTTACGAGATCTTCCAGTTTTCAGGGAAAGAGGTCAATCTAGGTTTCTCGGTGAGATCTGATTTAGGAATGTTAGCAACTTAAAAAAAAAAAAAGCTTTAACATTGCTCTTTAGACAAAACATCGTTGCATTCTGTCTATGGCCTACCTCAGCGATTAATTAAAGTGAACAGTTGAAGTAAAGAAACATTTATTGAGACCTAGTGGGTACTAAGGAGCCCTGGTAGGACAGTGTTAAGTGCTCGGCTGCTAACCAGAAGGTCGGCAGTTCGAACGCACCAGCTGCTTTGCGGGAGAAAGATGTGACAGTCTGTTTCCATAAAGATTACAGTCTTGGAAATCCTATGGGGCAGTTCTGTTCTGTCCTATAAGATTGCTATGAGTCAGAACTGAATCGACGGCAACAGGTTTTGGTTTAGTATGTACTAAGGAGCCGTGGTTAAGTGATACAGCTACTAACCAAGAGGTCGGCAGTTCGAATCCGCCAGGCACTCCTTGGAAGCTCTATGAGGCAGTTCTACTCTGTCCTATAGGCTCGCTATAGCTCGGAATCAACTCAACGGCAACAGGGTAAGGAGCCCTGGTGGTGTAGTGGTTAAGTGCTCAGCTGCTAACTGAAAGGTCAGCTATTCGAACCCACCCAGTGGCTCTGCAGGAGAAAAGAGGTGGCAGTCTCCCTCTGTAAAGATTACAGCCTAGAAAACCCTATGGGGAGGTTCTGCTCTGTCCTATAGGGTCACTATGAGTTGGAATTGACTGGATGGTACACAACAACAACAGTATGTACTAAGCATTGCTTCTGTATTCTTTACATGGTAAGGTTATGAGATAATGATACCGTTGTCCCCACTGTTAAGGTGCAGAAACAAAGCCAGAAAGGTTAATCAGTCATCTTATGTCAAACAGCTCATAAAAAGGATTTGAACTTGGCCTGCTGACCATGCATGTTCTAATGGTTGGCCTGTCGGGGCAGCAAAGGGAGTCCATAGAGTGAAGTGGTAAGAAGTGGACTTTGGAGTGCCTTAGGTTCAAATCCTGGCTCTACCACTGGTTTTGTTCTTCATTTGTAAAATAAACATGATAATAAGGGCTGGTGTAATGGTTAAAGTACTCAGTTGCTAATGGAATGGTTGGTCGTTGGAGTCCCCCCCAGAAGCATGGCTGCTAACCAAAAGGCTGGCAGTTCAAATTCACCAGCCGCTCCTGGGAAACCCTATGGGGCAGTTCCACTCTGTCCTATAAGGTTACCAGGAGTTGGAATCGACTCCAAGGCAACAGTTTGGTTTGGTTTTTTTTTAAACCCTCCTCAGAAGAAAGAAAATCACCTAGAGGTGTCTACTTCTGCATATCAGCCATTGAAAGCCCTGTGGAGCGCAGTTCTACTCTGACACACATGGGGTCACCATGCGTCGGAGTTGACTCAACAGCAATTGATTGGACTCAAGGTTTTTAGAAAGATTAAATGAGTTACAATAACATTAAGCACTTCACACAGTGGCTGGCTGATAGTAAGCTCACAAATGACTTTAAAAGAACAAAATTAGAACTCGAAAAAAAAACTGCAAAAAAGATGTTTTTTCCTCAATCTGTTGTTTTCCTTTTTTCCATCCTCAAGCGTTTAATCATCTGTTTGCTTTGTTTTTTTCCTAGAATTTGTTTTGGTTTGGCATAGGAAAAGCTACACTGTTTCTCCTTCCGGCTATAATCTTTGCTGTCAAGCTGGCCAAGTACTACCGTCGAATGGATTCGGAAGATGTGTATGATGAGTAAGTATGAGAGTTTCCACGGAGGCTGGGGGGTCACGTCCTAAGTGGGGCTGTTTTCGAAGAGCTGCCGAAGGTAAGATCTGATGACATTGTACTTGACTTTTCTAAGGTAGCAGGTCATCCCTGCGCAGGGGTTTTGTTTGTACAGACTTTCTCATGCTTGTTTGAATTGCTTTTTTTCTTTTTGCTTAATCTTCTCAGCTTCCTTAACCGGCCTTTTTCTTTCTCGTTTACAGTTGCTCAGTCTCGGGGACCTGGCATTTTACTTTATGATAACTGTTTTTACTGATTTTCATTTTGGCTCTGTGGTCTGCCCTTCCCTCTGTATCCGGCAAACGTGGTGCTTCGTTTTCATTTCACTCCTTCCTCCTCAACATGTCTCTCCCTTGGGTTTGCATCCCCGTCAAGCATCGCTATTACAGTAAAAAGAATGGATGTAGCGTCAAGCTTTTCTAGAGATTAAAAAATAATAATAATAATCCTATCTCCCTTTTTTGTATTTTATAGTGTTGAATTTGTATCCATGAACAAGTAAGCCTTTTTTTTTTTTTTAAACCGTATTCCTAAGATGGGCTGGGGAGGTTTTTATTACTAGATGATGGACTTTTTAAGCTAAGTTAATAACTTAAAATTATCTAATAGCAATAGCTATCTCCAGAAACAAATTCTGAAGCCCCTTAAAAAGAGTGGTGGCACATAGAAGCTGCTCCAGAAATACTTGTTGAGTTAATAAAAACATTTTATATGTTAAATTAATATACTTTATTATGTGATGGAGCCCTGGTGGTGCAGTGGTTAAGAGCTCAGCTGCTAACCAAAAGGTCAGCAGTTCGAATCCACCAGCTGCTCCTTGGAAACCCTATGGGTTTATTGTCTGATAGGCTTTTTAAGTTAATAGTATCTCAAAGGAAACTTGTTGAATTAATAAAAAAATTATATGTTAAATTAAAATATATTATTATATAGTGGACTTTTTACATTAATAACATCTTAAAATTATCTAATAGCAATAGAAATGTCCAGATAAAAATAAATTCTGAAGACTCTCTAAAAACGAGGGCTGACACATAGAAGCTGCTCAAGAAATACTTGTTGAATTAATAAAAATGTATATATATGTTAAATTAATCTACAAAGTAGTTAAGTACTTGGTTTTTAAGTAGGCCACAATGTAAATATACCCTTTTAAGGTCTTTGTAGATTTAACAACCTGCCACATACTTTTCATGACCATGACATTGTCTTTGTAATCTGTGACGTAAATACTTCATCATAGAGATAACACAGTCTTTCTGGTGTATTTATTTTTGTTGCAGTATGGAAAATGTTAATAACAGTTATCATAAAGATCATTTATATGGTATTCACAATCCTGTTATGACAAGGTAAAGCCAAAGTCTAAAAGTGCATGCCTTTCCTGTGTCAAACGGCTGGGTCTTCTGCTAATCAGTCACTGGATTTTCTGCATGCCATTAATGCTTTTCACTTTTCCCTGCATGATGCCCCATGAATGATTATTCTTCAATCAACCCTACATAGCATTCAATTATGTCATATGTTTAAATGGTCAATGGATTTCTTAATAACAAAATTGCTCAGTAACTAAAATTTGATGTCATCTTAAAATGCTCTGTATGCCTGTAGATCATTAAGGATTAAATGCATGCCACCTTTCATTTAGCATTCTCCCCCCAGATCAACTCTTGAATGGTTATAGTCTGCAAAAACCCTTCCTCCTTCCTGCCTTTTCTTTCTTTCTTTCTTTCCTTCCAATAAATTAACTTAAGCAACCAAATTTAGAGCCCCAACCCCTACTCCAAAATCTTTATGAATTTATGTCCTCTATAAGGTTACCTGGTGGCGTAGTGGTTAAGAGCTACGGCTGCTAACCAAAAGATTGGCAGTTTGAATCCACCAGGAGCCCCTTGGAGACTGTATGGGGCAGTTCTACTCTGTCCTGTAAGGTCGCTATGAGTCAGAATCAACTTGACAGCAATGGGTAGCCCTTTATAGAAAAAGTCTGTTAAACCCGTTATAAAAGATGAGTACCATATATATGTAGGTACTATTAGGGCTATAGAAGTTTACTGATTACTCCTTCCTTTTGCCCTCGAAAGAACAACGGGTTTTGGTTTAGTGTTAAGAAGCTTGTGCGGGTGTGGATAGTTACCAGGTAACTCTGAGCATTACCTGCCAGGAGTCCTCCCCTGAAGCTGAACTACAAATTCAGACCCACAAGTCCACCAGGGAGAGGTCTACTCAGAAGGGGTGGAGCCAGGAATCAGCAGCAGGAGCTCTTTTCAGGGCAGCTAGTGTTCTTTGATCCCCTGACATGACATCTCAAGTGCGAAGAAGTGAATCTAACATTGGAGGGAGGGGGATCCACCTTGTTTTAGAAGCCCCGTGCCGTACATGAGAGACAGTAACTCTTGTGGCCACTCCAAAGGCAGTGCTTCAGGGTCCCCACAAGGGATGCACCCAGTTAAAAGAGTATCCACATTCAGAGAGGCCCAAAGCTCAGCTTCCCACCGGATGTTTGCTACCTCCCAGTCCACCTGGAACTTACCTGTCCAGGGCCATCTTGATCTTAAGCAATGTTGCTTAGTAACACAGCTGTTATGCCCCCTCAGTGAGGTTTCAGAGGAACAGAACTGGAGAGCTATCAAAATTTGTCCTTTCAGAGGATAAAGGCTTTACCCAGCTTATAAGTTCAGCATTCTAAAAACTTAAGAACTTTTGATTTTTATGTGATGTTTAGGGAGTGGGAAATGGTGATTAAAAAAAAATAGCTACAATAAAGTTGCAAGATGAATAATAAGATGCATTTGCATAGATGGTGAGGGTGAAATGAGGTTACAATGGTAAAATATTTACCCTTTTATCACTGTAAGTTCTTACTTAAGGGCTTGTTGCTGATGATAATAACAATGATTATGTTGTTTTCTTGTCATGGTTTTTACCTGGACATTTCTGATGGACCCACAGGTGATTCAGAAGATGAATGTGAGGAGCCCTGGTGGCGCAGTGGTTAAGCATCAGCTGCTAACCAAAAGATCGGCAGTTCGAACCCACCCACCACCCACTCCCTGGAAACCCTAGGGGCATTCTACTCTGTCCTATAGGGTCACTATGAGCTGGAATTGACTTGATGGCAACGGAATTTTTTTGGTTAATCTGTTAGCAGGAGTCCCTGGGTGGTGCAAATAGTTAACATGCTTGGTGGCTAACTGAAAGGCCGGAGGTTTGAGTCCACCCAGAGGCATCTCAGAAGGAAGACCTGGCAATCTACTTCTGAAAAATCAGCCATTGCAAACCCTATGTAGCACACTTCTACTCTGACACACATAGGGTCGCCATGAGTCAACTCAGCAACAGCTGGTTTTAATCCGTTAGCAGAATCATCTCCACTCAGCCTCAAGTCATTTACACCAGCTGGTCTATAGATGCTATCAAAGGCACCCACTTCTATACAAAATAAGCCTGAATACTTGCCTTTACACATTTTCCCCGATGTTTAAGGTGTTTGAGGTTGCAGGTGTTAGGGGGCCATGCCCTTTCTTCTTCAGCAAGGGCTGCAGTGCTTCCATGGCAATGAGGTCCCACCTCCTGTGCGGCCTCCAGTCTGATGGCCCAGGTTGCTCAGAGCTCTGTGTGAGAGAGAGCTGGAGACTGAACCCAAACCAAGCCAATGAGTGGGGCGATCAGCATGTGCCGTCTGCTCTGGCGAGAGGGGTGTCATGGGTATCATGCACTGGGCTCCTTTATTTAACTGTGCTGGGCCCCTAGAAGTTGTAGTTCAGATCCCAGGTCCTCATGATCTGAAGAAATATGTTTTCCAGAGATGGCCTTATCCGAGGGCCTGCTGTTCCCTCCACATCAGGAGCTCCCAGGATTATTTTTAGTCACTTGAATTGGTTTGTTTTGCTTCTTCTGGGATCCCCAGAGCAATCTTTTCTGGGACGTGGTGGTGCATACTGCCAGGTGGTCCCACAGAAGAGGCATGGCTGGGTGGGGGGAGAAGAACCAGCTAGTGCCCCCAGTGTTCAGATGTCTCTCTGCATGAGAAGGTGCATGCCAACGTGAGCCATGTTGTGTGAGCTGCAGGAATCCCAACCCACCAGGCCCCTTTGTTCCTTAGAAACGATCGCCAGAGCCTGCAACCAAAACACCAGTTGCCAATGAGCTGATCCCAACTTATGGCAAGCCCGCTTGTCAGAGTAGAGCTGTGCTCTGTAGGGTTTTCAGTGGCTAATTCTTCAGAAGTAGATCGCCAGGCCTTTTTTCTGAGATGCCTCTGAGTGCAGTTGAACCTCCAACCTTTCCGTTAGTAATCGAGTGCTTAGCTATTGGCGCCACCCAAGGACTCCACCAAAGCCTGCAGGCCTTCATAATGCTCAGTCTCAGAGCAGAGTGCTGTGGATAGCAGGGCGAGACTGAGCTAGCCCAATTTGGCAGGCCCTTTCCCACTGAACCTCCGAGCCCCATCCATAAAGAACTTGTTCCATTCTTGAGAGCATAAATTAAGAGTACAAAACAAGAAGAGGCACGGAGGCCAAGCATGTCCAGTTTCCAAAGTAAAACCCTTTGGGACCTAGGGAGGAGCGCCTTGCCCTGTAGACACTCTGAGATTATCGAGGACACTTCCTCCCCCCAAACCTCCTGTGGTTCTCAAGAGCACTGCAGCTAGGCAGGCGGGGGGACCAGGGCCATTTCAAGGCTCAGAGACCTCGTGATTTGCCCAGAATCACAGTTGGGGAGGGAAGGAACCAGAGTCCAAGCTCACAACTGCAAACCTTCCAGGCGGAGTTCATGAGTCTTGTCCTTGCATAGACCTTTCCAGGGGCGTATTAACCAGTGGACGCAGTATGCAGCAGTTTGTATTGAGCAAGGTCTGCACGGGCTTAATTGTATTTACTTGCTAATCTGTGGTGAGCAAATTCATACGGATTTCACATCTTTGACGGGAATGGGGGACAGGTGAAATTGTGCACTGCAGATTGCTGGGAAGACACAATTGGGCCTGTGCGTACCTTGCTTACCGGGTAATCCAGCCCTGGACTCAAGGCCATGATCGTGGAATAATTTCAGAGGAGGTAGGGCTACTGTTGTTAATCCAGAGAGCCGTTTAGAGGAAATGCACATCTTTTGGCCTCACGCCAGTAGATGGCATTGTAACACGGGTCCTGCAGAACTTCAGGTTGCTTATGGCCTCCTCCCCAGGCCAACTTCCAAAAGCCGAGCGGACCCTTGTGGTCTAGTTTCTGCTAGTTTCCTGTCCTCTGCACATCTTAGCGACCCTCACCACCCTTAGCCTTGAATTACGAATATTCACATCTCTGCTTTTTATAGTTTGTTGCTATATATCCTTTCCTTAAAAGCAAAAGAAATGAAAGCTAGATGAATACAACCTTCTATTTATTGGAAGTAGTCCCCCTGATGAGCTTTCTGAGGCTTGGTCTATATTAATTACCTGTCTGCTTCTCAGCACAGCGGTTACAAAAATCACTCCGTGGCTTTGCCTCAGAGGCTTATATTTCTGTTTTCTTTATTTTTTATTTTTTTTCAGCACTATGGAACATTGATAGCTGATATTGAAATTGCTTAAGGTAAGTTAGATGCTTTTATATAAGAGAATTTCTAGAACTAACAGAATAGTTTTTAGAACACTAAAATACAACTGACATAGCTGAATTCTATATTAAGTGGAAAATCTAGGTCAATGTATAATATATATAGCAAAATCCAAACCAAACCCGTTGCCATCAGGTCGATTCCGACTCATAGTGGCCCTATCGCACAGGGTAGAACTGCCCCATAGAGTTTCCAAGGAGCGCCTGGTGGATTTGAACTGCCGACCTTTTGGTTAGCAGCCGTTGCACTTAACCAGTACGCCACCAGGGTTTCCATAATATATATAGTGTGGTTTTATATATATATATATATATATATATATGCTTGGTAAAGTAGAGGGTCATCAAAAAAGAGGAAGACCCTCGAGGAGATGGGTTGACACAGTGGCTACAATCATGGGCTCAAGCATAACGATGATTGTGAGGATGGCGCAGGACCAGGCAGTGTTTTGTTCTATTGTGCATAGCATTGCTATGAGTTGGAATCACCTTGAAGCCACCTAACAACAACAATAATATATATGTAATGACTTTTTGTAGATAAATGGATATATATATATACGCACTAAATATAGTGTGAATATATATATATGCTAAATATATATACATTTAGTGCATATATATAGTGTTGGTGTGTATGCATATATACACACGCTAAACGTAGTGTGTATATCTATATGTGTGAATACATACACACACATACACATATACTATGGCAAAATATAAGCTCTGAAAACCAATTATGTGCCTTGATTATTAAAAATTTGAAAGTTTTTATACATTTGTATATTAAATTTTTGTCCCAAACATACTTATAGTAAGTGATCATAGAAAACAGTATTTCAGAAACTAAAATTAAAATGAGATAACTCAAGTGAGGCTGAGCCAAGAAACTTGCCTCTTGAACAAAATCTGTCTTTTCCATAGTTGTTGGCTCCTGGAGTAGACCATTTTAGGATCCTGCATTCTGGGTTTTCTCTCTAATAATTGCTTTAATCATTCAAAGCCAGTTTCTGAAATTTTGTGTGACCTTCCTTTTAGCATCAGGACACTCAAAGTGGAAAGATCACAGACTTCTGGTAGTTTCTGGGCCGACAATCACTTTCCAAATCCTGGAGGACTTCTGGTGGCTGACCCAGCATCTCAGACGGGCACAAGCAGACCCCTTTGGGAATGATGCCGCTCACCTCTGGGTAGTGCTTCCTTAGGAATTAACACACGTACACCAGCAGCACTTGTGTCCATCACTGGTCAAGGAAAGTTCCACCACCACCCCTGCGCCCCACCCTGGTTCTTTGTGTTACTTTTGTGTTTTTTTTTTTTTTTAAACTTTTTTACACTGGGTTTCTATTCTGAAACTACAACACATGGTGTATTCCCTTTGATACATTTCTGCATCAAACAGCTATTCAAACGTCATGGCTCAATTTTTAACATACTGTCATCTGACGAGTCGACACCACAGATACAGGAAAGATGCGTTTTGTGTATGTAAATTTTGTATTTCTTCTGTTAGCACACACGGCCAGAGTGTTTTAAACCAATGAGTATTGATGATTTACTTCCTAAGTGGATTTATTACCAGGTCAGTGTTGACTTATTGCTGCTGTTGAAAATGATCTATTTTTACTAAAAGAAGTGTGAAAACCACAGCAAATCCTTTCTCTCCAATGATTTACTTTTTCAATAACTTGTCATGTTCAGTTTGGAAATAGAATGCAAAGCCAGTCACAGAGAGACCTGCTTAATTCTGTCTAGCAAATTAAAAACACACACACACAGAGATCCTGAAAGAAGGAAATGCGGTTCATTAGAAACTCGTCGTTATTTTAACAGATGCCAATTACAGTGTATGCTTAAGGTAATTTCCTGATTTATAAGCCTAACCATTAATTGGAGTGCTGCTGGATAATTTGATAACAAGTGTTGCTGGGGATTTTAAAATGAAAAAGGAGAAGATTCTGCCAGGATTCTTAGATCTGAAATCTAACATAAATGAAACCTTTGAACTTGGTCCTTAAAAACATGTGAAAGCACAAAATAAATACCCATTTACTTTGAGATTTTTCTGTTAGCTTTGCCATTATCAGAAGCGATCAGAATGAAAAACTCATTGAATAAAATATCATTTATGTAATGAATTTTAAAAAGTAGATGTTTCACCAGATCTTTTCATGTGCAGATTACAGTTCTGATTTATTGCAATAAAAAGGAACTTGAAAAGCATGGTCTATCTGTTACTTCCTTCGTAGACCCAGAGATTGTCAAATTTCAGATGATGAAATTTGGGTTTACTTTATATGTTTATTCTATATCCCCATCGTAAGGTGCCATATACAGAGTCCCTGGGTGGTGCAGATGGTTAACATGCTTGGCTTAATTTAAAGGCTTGAGGTTCGTGTCCACCCAGAGGTGCCTGGGAAGAAAGTCCTGGTGATCTGCTACCAAAAAATCAGCCACTGAAAACCCTATGGAACAGAGTTCTAGTCTGACACACATGGGGTCACTATGAGTTGGAATCTACTCAACAGCAACTGGTTTTTTAATATGGAAGTAATAACAAGATTACAATCAACATCCTTTCTCAAAAAAGGCTTTTGACTCAATCTGATTCATTCTGTCCAAAAAAAGCCTCAAACTTCACTTTTTAGGGTCTGAAGTCACCATTGCTTAGAGAATGATCCAAGTGGCTTGGCCAATATACACACTTCAATCCCTATAACAGGCAAACTTTAATGTACTCTTAAATGTATGTCAGGAGCCCTGGTGGTGCAGTGGTTAAGCGCTAGGCTGCTAACCGAAATGTTGGCAGTTCTAACCCACCAGACACTCCACGGGAGAAAGATGGGGCAGTTTGCTTCCATAAAGATTGTTGTTGTTAGGTGCTGTTGAGCTGGTTCCGATTCATAGCGACCCCTGTGTACAACAGAACGAAACACTATCTGGTCCTGCATCATCCTCACTATCATTGCTATGTTTGAACCCTTCATTACAGCCACTGTGTCAGTCCATCTCGTTGAGGGTCTTCCTCTCTTTCTCTGACTCTACTTTACCAAGCATGGCATCCTTCTCCAGGGACTGGTCTCTACTGATAACGTGTCCAAAGTACGTGAGATGAAGTCTTGCCATCCTTGCCTCTAAGGAGCGTTCTGGCTGTATTTCTTCCAAGACAGATGTGTTCATTCTTCTGGCAGTTCATGGCATATTCAATATTCTTCACCAACACCATAATTCAAAAGCATCACTTCTTTGGTCTTCCTTATTCATTGTCTGGCTTTCCCATGCATATGAGGAGATTGAAAATACCATGGCTTGGATCAGGCGCACCTTAGTCCTCAAAGTGACGTCTTTGCTTTTTAATACTTTAAAGACGTCTTTTGCAGCAGATGTGCGTGATGCAATATGTCGTTTGATTTCTTGACTGCTGCTTCCATGGGTGTTGATTGTGGATCCAAGTAAAATGAAATCCTTGACAACTTCAATCTTTTCTCTGCTTATCATGATGTTGCTTATTGGTCCAGTTATGAGGATTTTTGTTTTCTTTATGTTGAGGTGCAATCCATACTGAAGTCTGTAGTCTTTGATCTACATCGGCAAGTCTTCAAGTCCTCTTCATTTTTCAGCAAGCAAGGTTGTGTCACCAGTATATTATAGGTTGTTAATGAGTCTTCTTCCAATCTTGATGCCATATTCTTCTTCATATAGTCCAACTTCTTGGATTATTTGCTGAGCATACAGATTGAATAAATATGGTGAAAGGATACAACCCTGACACACACCTTTGCTAATTTTAAACCACACAGTATCCCCTTGTTCTGTTTGAATGACTGCCTCTTGGTCTATGTACAGGTTCCTCATGAGCACAATTAAGCATTCTGGAATTCCCATTCTTTGCAATGTTATGTATAATTTGTTATGATCCACACAGTCGAATGCCTTTGCATTCGTAATTTTTACGGGTTTGGAAACCCTATGGGACAGTTCTACTTTGTCCTCTAGGGTTGCTCTGAGTCAGAATTGACTCAGTGGCAGTGGTTTTTTTTTTTTTTTTTTTTTTTAAATGTGTGTGTGTGTGTGTGCAAAGCGAATTTTTATTAAATTATACATAAGAGACTTGAAGTTTGAACAAATTAAGCTCTGTGTGCATTGGGGGAAATCATCCATCCAGTTGACACTTTTTTTAAACCTGATTTTTATATTCTACAACTTTAAAATTCAAATTATTCAAGCCAACTGAATTTAATACTCCAGAGCTTAACTCTGGCAACTTATTTGTCAGTATCTCCCAGTGTCAAATACACAAGTGGCAGGAGATTAGGTCTGAAGGTTCTCATGTTTCTTAAAAACTAAACCTTTCATCCACCTGAGAGAACACGCACGTCAGTGTGCATGTTTTCTCTCCCCTCCCGTTCACAAATAATTTTTCTTTTTTTTAATTGTGCTTTAGGTGAAAGTTTACAAAGCAAATTAGTTTCTCATTAAATAATTAATACACAAATTGTTTTGTGACATTGGTTGCCAACCCTACGACATGTCAACACTCTCCCCTTTTCAACCTTGGATTCCTCATTTCCATTCGTCCAGCTTTCCTGTCCTCTCCTGCCTTCTTATCCTTGGCCCTGGTTTGGTGTTCCCATTTAGTCTCATATACATGGTTGAGCTACATGTGTTATTGTTTGGTTTATAGGCCTGTCTAATCGTTGGCTGAAGGGAGAACCTCAGGAGTGACTTCCGTACTGAGTTAAAAGGGTGTCTGGAGGCCATACTCTCGGAATTTCTCCAGTCTCTGTCAGACCACTAAGTCTGGTCTTTTTTATGTGAGTCTGAATTTTGTCCTACATTTTTCTCCAGCTCTGTCCAGGACCCTCTATTGTGATCCCTGTCAGAACAGTCGGTGGTGCTAGCTAGCCACCATCTAGTTGTGCTGGACTCAGTCTGGTGGAGGCTGTGGTACTTGTGGTCCATTAGTCCTTTGGACTAATCTATCCCTTGTGTCTTTGGTTTTCTTCATTCTTCCTTGCTCCTGAAGAGGTGGAACAAGTGGAGTATCTTAGATGGCCGCTCACAAGCTTTTAAGACCCCAGATGGTAGAACATATTCTTTATAAACTATGTTATGCCAGTTGAGCTAGATATTCCCCAAGACCATGGTCCCCAGCCCCTCAGCCCAGTAACTCGGTCCCTCAGGGAGTTTGGATGTCTCTATGCACACAAATAATTTTCTTGAAAGAGTTCTCAACCCATCCCTACCTCTACTTTCTCACCTCCATTGGTTCTTCAGCCTGCTGATATCCAGCTTCCGCCTTCTTCGCTCCTTTGAAGGACTGTTGTAAAAGTCACTGATGTCTGCTTTCTTGATGAGTTTAACAAGACTGTTCTGTCCTTGCTGACCTCTTGGCAGCTTTTGACTCTGTTGACCACTCCCTGTTTTCAAAGATCTCCTTTTAAGGCTCCCAAAGAAGCCCTCTCTCCTGAGTCTTCTTGAGGCAAGGCTCTCTCTTCCTCAGCCCACCTTATGCTCTTCACCTTAACTTGTGTTGGCGTCCCCCGGTTCCCTCCTATCTACCTTCTTGCTTTCTCCCTGAGTGACTTAATTCACTCTCATAGTTTCACCACCCTATCTGTTCTCGTGACTTTTTAACTGTAACCACAATAAAAAACCACTTGCCATCAACATGATTCCCACTCATGGCGGCCCCATGTGTGTCAGTAGAACTGTGCTCCATAGGGTTTTCAATGACTGATTTTTCAGAAGTAGATCACCAGGCCTTTCTTCTGAGGCCCCTCTGGGTGGACTCAAACATCCAACCTTTCTATTAACAGCTGAGTGCATTAACTGTTTGCACCACTGAGGGGCTCCCTAGCAACAATAGAACTTTAGAAACCCATGCGCCCACTGCGCTCCTCCACCTGGATGTCCCACAGATACTCCAATGTGACTTAAACCATAAGTCAGCAAACGTTTTTCAGTAAAGGGCCAGACAATATCTTAGGCTTTGTGGGCCATGTGGTCTCTGCTAAAAATACTCAACTCTGCCAGCTGTCCAGGTCTTTAGTCATAGGGTGAAAGCAGTGTAGACCATAGTTAAGTGAACGGGAATGGTTATGTTCCAATATAACTTTACAAAGTCAGTTTTGGCCCATGGACCATAGTTTACCAACCCCTGCCTTAAACTAAAGGTCCCCAGGTGGCACAAATGGTTTTTACTTAGACTACTAACCTGGAAGTTGGTGGTTTGAACCTACCCAGCAGTGCTGTGGAAGAAAGTCCTGGCAGTCTGCTTCCATAAAGATTACAGCCAAGAAAACCCCATGGGGCTTGTGTCATCTCTGTCACATGGGATTGCTATGAATCAGAATCAACTCGACAGCACCCAACAACATACAACCCTTATTATTATTTTTAACTTCAGGGTCTTTTTCTATTTGCTTGGCCATCTCACAGGACTTAGGCTTGGTTAGTTGGCATCCTTTGGGTTGACTAAACCCACTGACCCCCAAGATGAGGACCTCTGAGGGGCAGCAGACAGCCCTGAGGCAGTCCAGGCCACAAGCTACACATTTCTTTCCAGAGCGCCTCTGTCACACCTTGGCAGATCCCAAATTTTCACAAAGAAGGCTGTTACCTTAAAAGGCTCAGTTACAGAGGAAGCTCTAAGCAGTTGGGAAAACGTAAAACCCCAAGACCCAAATGTGTGTGTAGTGCTTGTCTGTGTAACACCGGCAAAGCTATTGAAGCACCCTGCTCTGGACGTACTCATGTAAGCTGTCCCCTTTGCTTGTGGTGGGGAAGCCCTGGTGCTGCTCAACTCTTGCCAAGGACTACACATTCAAGGTCTGTGTGCATCTATTTTCCTTATATAGTCATGATTGGGGCCTCATTGCATAGGCTGTTGGGATCTCATTCCATAGGCTGACAGGGGCCTCATTGCACAGGCATGATTGATTGAACCATGCGCCCCTCCCTTAGGGCAGCTGCTACCCAGTCTCAGGATGGTCTTTCTGGCCTGGCCAGCCCCCTACTCATTTGCAAAAATCCTCAGGTGTTGTCTGGAGATCTTAGAGAATAAAGGTGGCTAAACTACTCAGGAAATTCCAAGGCTGATCACTCAGAAAGCAAGGACAAAGGCCACATTACTTCATGTAAGGTAATTCTTTACCTCACACTATGCAAGGAAAAGAAAAAACCCAGATGTCCTGATAAATATCTATTTTGATAACATCATAAAACAGATTTGCCTTTTTCTGAAAGTGCTGAGACAGCAGGGACTGCTGCACTCGACCAGAGTCGGTTTAGCGTTTGTTGCTCTGGGCTGAGGGTTTCCTGTGGAATCAAATTCTCAGGCCTCAC